ACTACAGTGCTGCTGCATGTCCATCTCATCTCTAAAAACACTCTGCTTCAGGTTTTGCCTGGGCCTCAGCCCCTCCTTCTATGTTATCTGCAGCACCTTGGTTGCCCTCTCAGCAAGGGAAGAGCTATGCCCCGAATATCAGTGTTCACCCAGTGAGGAATGCTGCTTGTGCCCAGACTGGGCTAAAGCACCTGCGAGGGTATTAGGTCCGCAGCTCAGGCCCTTGATCAGCATCTGGTGTCCAGATGCGGAAACAAACAGAGATACTGACGAACTTGTTGAGGGTCCTGGATAGCAGCAGGCAGCGCTGTCTTGTGACTTGGGAACCTGACCCTGGAGTCCAGAGTCTGAGCTTGTCAGGGAGCTGACAGTCCATCTTGCCTGTCACTGTGGCATTGGCATGCTGGGACATCTGGGCCTATAGGAAGTCAGACGCCCCAGCCCAGGGTATCTGGCATACAACTCCAAAAAGGGCCATATTCTAATTCTGATAACGGCTCTGCTCCTCACTTCTTATCCAACTGCTTGAGTTTCTCTTTTGTTACAATCTATACCTCATTACATATGAGCTTCCATCTCCCATAATCCTGAGTCAGACACTCCAGGACATAAATTCAGTTTATTTCTAATCCTGACTAGGACCCATGTTTTGCTCCAAATCTGCTAGGATGAATTGAGCAAGAAAAGGTCTGCAGAACCAGATTCCAGAGTCAGCCTTCTGAGAACAGGCCCTAAATCCCTCCATCAGCTAAACAGAACCTCTATGGCAAGATACCCACCTATTTGTATGTATGTGTGTGTGCTTGCATGCATGCATGTATGTGTGACTATGCATGCATATGTGGTGAGCATATGCATGTGGAAGTCAGAGAATAGCCCAGGTGTCATGTACCTTTCTTTTGAGACTCTCCAGGCTTTGCCTGTCATCTCACCATCCCTGGGATTACAAATATACACTACCACACTGGACTAATTTACATGTCCTCAGGTCTGCATGTTTACAGAGCAAGCATTTCACTCATCACCGCTGTCAGCATAGGCAGACACCTTTGGAAATGGAGGCAGGAGGGCGGGCACATGTGTATGGTGCCTTACTTCGGGATGACAGAACCAAGAGGGATATGGATACAGGCTGCTCAGAGCCATGGTTCTAGGTGCTGGGTGGCAATGGGAAAACTGGCTTCAGGAGGGCTCAGAAAACCTACAAACTGGATACCCAAAGAGCTCAGCCTCAGGCAGCCTCTTGTCCCAAGTGAGTAGCCAGGTCATGACTGTGTGGGATGCATCTCTCACAACACTGCCCTCTCTCAGGCCTTGCCAGGGCTCATACCGAACCTGCTCCTGAGACATCACCATTACTAGCAAGTCTAGTGATACCAAGCTGGAGACCCAAAATTCAGAACTGTGTTGTGTTTGCTTTTCAAGTTTTATTTTTACTCTCGGCACATCTCTCTCTTTTTATTGTTTTGCCCAGAACTCTAGTTCTTATCACTTAGTGATATGAATGTCTTCTGGAAAACAACAACAACAAACATACATACATAATTAACAGAAACTATTATGTAATGACTAATATCACTTCAGATCAGTAAATAATAGTAGTACCAATAACCCTATTGTCCTCCAGGTTTACCTGTATCATCTCACTTAATGCTCAGAATACTCTTTTAAAGGTTTTTATTGCAGATATTAATTGTTTATGTCTATGTGCATGCATGCCATGGCATGCATGTGGGGGTCAAAGACAACTTGTGGTAATCAGTTCTCTTTATCATGTGGGTCTATACCCCTTTTCCTATGTGGGTACCATAGTTCCCTGAATCTGGTAGAGGAGGAATTCTTAGGGGGATCTTATCAGAATGCAGGTTCTGGAATGGGGAGATGGCTCAATGGGGAAAATGCTTGCTGCTCAAGCATAAGGACCTGAGTTTAATTTCCAGTACCCACAGAAAAAGCGGGGTATGGTGGCAGCTGTCTGTAACCTAGCATCGGGCAGATGGAGACAGGAGGACTCCTGGAGTTTTCTGGATAGCCAACCAATCCAAATTGGACAGCTCCAGGTTCATCAAGGAACTATCTTAAAAAAAAAAAAAAAAAGGAGCACAATTAAGGAAGACCCTCTTGTTTGACCTTTAACCTCCACGTGCATGTGTACAGAGATGCCTGCACACCCCACCCCTGACACACACGAACACAGGTTCTGATTTGCTGAATCTAAGGTGGGGCTCAAGATCCTTCCTCTCTAGCATGTTGCCAGACAACCCTGTCACTGCCAGGCAGGGCACCACATTTTAATGATGACACTCAGAGTCAGGTTCAAGGCACCCTCAAACCCAAGGCCCACATGAGCCAAGCAAGTGAGATATATGGGGAGAGCTAGGGCAAGAAGAGATGACTTGGAGAGAATGAACACTGGCTCTACTGGCTGGCCATGCCTCAGCTATGGAGACCGCAAGGCTAGTGTGGGTCCATAGCTATGGGTAGTCAGTCTCCCAGCTTAAAATCCTGTGGTAACAAACCCAGCTTTTAGGGCTGGTGAAATGGCTCTGTGGTTAAGATCAATGGCTGCTTTTCCAGAGGTCCTGAGTTCAATTCCCAGCAGCTCACAACTATCTGTAATAGTCTGACTGATGCCCTTTTCTGGCATAAAGGTGTACATGCAGATAGAACACTCACATACATAAAATAAATAAATCTTAAAAAAATAAAACAAATCTAACTTTTAAAAACCATCCTCTGTGTGCACGTGTAGGCTCATGGCAGCTTTATTCATGAATACCCGACTAAGAAGTAGTAGCCCAGTGTGCCCTGTGCCATGGCACTGGCATGCAGTGGGTATTATTTGGCAGCAAGAGAGGGTGTAGTACAGATGGGAGCTTCAGTGTGGCTGAGCCTCAGAAACATTACATAAAGAAAAAAAAGCCACACAAAAAGGAAGACTATAAGCTAGGGAAACCCACAGGAGCAAATGAGGAGGAAAAGGGGTGAGCATGAATGAGTGCAGGGGGCAAGTATGTCCGTAAGTTAGGTTGTGCTGATGGCTGTACAACCCTGAATATACTAAGAACATTGCACTGACCATCTTCAACAAGTGCGGTGTGCATTATCAATATTTCAATAAAGGTATCAAGCTGTGCAGGAGAGCACCAGCTTCTTTCATATATAAAACACAAATCAATTTTCTTGTTGCAAATCAACAAGAAAAAGGGTCAGGGTTGAAAGGATTGCTCAATGGTCAGAGTGTCTGCTGCTGTTGCAGAGCATTGGACTGGACTACAGCTCCTATCACCCATAATGTGTGGCTCACTATGGGAGGTGCCCACATGAGTACACAACACACACACACACACACACACACACACATATACACACATATGCACACATATACACACATATACATTCACACACACTTTTTAAGTTAACCTCCTAAAGAAAACAATCCATAAAATATAAACAAACCATTGGTAAGTACATCATAAATGTGTCTTGCTCATTATGAAAGATGTTTGTGAGACCTTATCTGAGAAGCCTTAGTACTGAGTAACTAGTAGCATATATAGTGTGGATACATGTGCCAATGATACCTGATATCCCTGGCACATGGAGAGAGCTCTCATCTTGTTCCTCAGAACTGCACAGTTTAAAAGCTGCGAGCTGATTATTTCTGAGAGTCTCCGTTGGAATCCTTTCAGATAGATTGAGCACAGACAACTACACTGAGGAGGACAAGTATGTGAAAAGTGGAGCTTCAAACAAATGGGAGCATTAGCTACAACTCTGCTCCTAGGGATCTGGAATATGAAGCTGCTGAAGCATTGTGGGAGGGGAGGAAGCAGCAAAATAGTGCCCATACCCTTTGCTCCAGAATTTTTACTTCTGGAAATTCACTCTACAAAGGCACGTAAGTTGACACGTGTGGCAAACATTCATGGAGGCACATATGAGCTCTCATGAAATCTGCTACCATTCAGCCATGAAGCAGAATGTGGTAGTTACTGATACCGACATGAAGGACACACCAAGGTTATTTGGGTTGGAGATGTAGCTCTGTTGGTAGAGGGCTTGTCCAGCATGCACAAAGCCCTGGATTGGAGTCCCAGCATACCATAAAGCAGGCATGGTGGTACATGCCTGAAATCCCAGCATTGCAAAGCAGGGCTGGAGTATTAGAAATCCAAGATTACCTTTGTCTACATAGTGAGACATTGTATTTCAAAAGAAAAAGCAAGGGGATGAGGCTTGTGTCATCTGTTTCTGTCTGGTGAGTGATGGGGATTCTAGACATATACACTGATGTGTTCATCAATGTGGAACTGCCTTTGGGCTGACATAGAGGATGTAGAGATGCCTCAGGGACTCTACAAGAAGTTGTTTTTCTATCTTCCCCAAACCCTGGGAGCTGAGACAGGAGGTTTGAGTGCAAAGCCAGCTTAGAAAAATATTTCCTCCAGGTAGGGGAACAGTGGCAGCTGGAGCGATCCCTTCCATCAGGCACTAGTTTCTGTTCTTATGCTGTCATATCCTTGGTGGGACAAAGCACCTATACCCACCCAGCTGCCCTTGCAACATCTGAGATGAAGAAGTAACTCTTTAGAAACCCTGTACCCCATCGGGCATTAGTGGTGTACACCTTTAGTCCCAGCACTCGGCAGAGGCAGCCCCATCTCTGTGAGTTCAAGGCCAGCATGGTCTACAGTTCTAGTTCCAATTCCAGGACAGGCTCCAAAGCCACAGAGAAATCCTGTCTCGAAAACCACCCCAAAAAAAGAAAAAGAAAGAAACTCTGCACCCCACTGTCTCTGTCCTGATCCTGTCTCGAAAACCACCCCAAAAAAGAAAAAGAAAGAAACTCTGCACCCCACTGTCTCTGTCCTGGGGTAACTTGGGAGCTCCTATTCTTAGGATTGGTAACAAAAGGGCTAGCATGTGGGGAAAGGATGCAGGCTATGGGAGCTGAGGGCAGAGGCCCCATCTCCTTGTGTTTACTTCCTGTCCTGCAGGCACGCCCCAAAGGTGAGGGTCTGACACCGTACCAAGGGAAGAAACGCTGCTTTGGAGAGTACAAATGTCCCAAGTGCAAGAGAAAATGGATGAGCGGGAACTCCTGGGCCAACATGGGGCAGGAGTGCATCAAGTGCCACATCAACGTGTACCCGCACAAGCAGGTGGGTAGGCGGGACCTCTGGGTGGGGCGGAGCTAGGTGTGGGACTGAGGATGAGGTTGGGCAGCCTGCAGTGGGTGGGGCTGGGACCAGGGAAGGGGGCAGGGCATTCTCTGGGTGGGGTAGGCAAACCCGGTAGGCCTTGGTGACTGGCTAGAACATGGAATCAGGACAGCCTAGTTTCTACAAGGTGCTCCGTATCAGAGTCCCGAGGATCTGGGCTGCAGGTCTGGAGGGCTCAGATAACTGCCTTTCGACCTAGGCGGAGAGGCAGAACCAACTCACACACTCAGGGCCAGGGGAATCCGATGTTAGTGTTCTGGTGTGCCCCAGTGGGTGGCAGGGCAGGCTACTACTTACTGGGTCCCCTCTATCTTTCCAGGATATCCCTTGGTCATTGATGGCTCTCCCTGCCTTCCCCCTCCCCACATCCTACCAACATAGCCTAAGTGTAGCCTGCTGACCTGCCAGTCTGGCTGTACACAGAGGGGACCAATCTAAAAGAATCTTGCAAGGCCTTGAGTTTTCATTTTCCCCACTCACCAGTTGGTTGAGCACCTACTGTGTGCATTGGGAAGACTGTGGTAGCGCCCCCCCCCCAACCCTACCCCCGCTCCAGGCCAAGTTTTGGATTCCTGGGCTTTTGTGCTTCTGTCCCTGGCTTGAATCTGCTTCCCCTGAAGAGGCAGTGGAGCATGGGGATGGAGAAGAGCTCTTGCCCCTCCCCCAGTGCTGACCTGGGCCATCTCATCCCTCTGAGAAGCCCTGCCCCCACTACATTTGTTTCCTGTCAGGATCCAACTGTGTCTCCCCAGACGACCCAGCCCCCCCCCCCCCAGAAGAGAAGAAAACGCTAATGGGCTTTGCCTCCCTGCTGGGGGCAGGGGCCTCACTGATCAGTCCCAGCTGTTGGGTGTTTCCTTCCACAGAGGGGAGTCATCCTGACAGCTCCCCCAAGCACCCCACTGGCAGCCTGCCTGCAGCTGCAGGCTGAGCACCAAGGCCAAGGAGAAGAGCAGTTCAAAGGAACCCAGAGCTAGGGCTGGCTAGGACAGTCAGGTGAGAGTGTATCCCAAGGAGTCAGCTGGTGATCCCGCCCCTTCAAAACATTACTGGTAACATGCAACATTACTACTGGCCCATGCATGGAAGGCTCCCCGTGAGCCAGGTGCCATTCTAACAACTCTCTTCACTACAGCCCTATCAGACAGACTGTTAAATACATATCACGGAGGAGAAAAGCAAGCAGCAAGGTTAAATGCCTTGATGACTGTCCACACAGATATTACGAAGTCTTTGTGGAACTCTGTGGTTATAGAGTCCTTTTAAGACAGTCATTCTCTCTCTCTCTCTCTCTCTCTCTCTCTCTCTCTCTCTCTCTCTCTCTCTCTCTCACACACACACACACACACACACACACACACACACACACACACACACACAGAACTAAGCAAAGACAGCACCTGTCACTAACCTCTAGCCCAGGCTATGAAAGGCAAGCTGAGGTTGCAGCTGTCACTCGATAGATGGCAGAGGTGGTGTTCAAGGCCGACTTGTGGTATCTCGGGCCATTGACACAGTGCAGAGAAGTGGGTATACTGCAGAGATATAGGCAGAACAGTTTCTCAGAATAGTCTTCAAGCCTCTCAGCTCTTCTCATTGGCTCTGCCCTTATCCCTGGGACCTCTGTCAACACCTGGTACGAACACACACACACACACACACACACACACACACACACACACAGCAGTGCCCAGCAGGGCAGCCAGAGCAGGGCAGGCCCTGGTGAGTTCTCAGGGGCCAGGATCACAGGAGTAGGAGCAGCCTCACAGGAGGATGCTACCTTGGGGACAGAAAGCCAGGGATCTGAACATGTTAGAAGAGTGCATGAGATCTAGAGCTAGCCCTGAGCCCCAGGATGAGAACAGGCAGCATTCCCAACAGTGTGGGGCTTGAGAACCACCATTTTCTCCCTGGAGACCTCTGGGCAAGACTTTTTTTTTTTTTTTTTTTTTTTTTTTCTGAGATAGTTTTGGAGCCTGTCCTGGAACTCACTTTGTAGGCCAGGTTGGCCTAGAACTTACAGAGATCTGCCTGCCTCTGCCTCCCTAGTGCTGGGATTAAAGGCATGCACTCCCACTGTTGAACTGGACAAGACTTTTACATTGCTTAATGTGGTAACTAACCCACCACTCCCGTGGAAGCTGTGTCCTTGAAGTACTTTGAGTTATGTGGCCTGGCCACACAAAGCCCAAATCGGCAGGTTCCAAGGCAGTAGAAGCTGGCTCGATCACTCCTGTCCCTGTCTCCCTACTAAAAGGCTGGTTCGTGGAGGTCATGGGTAGTGGACTGTGGGGAGCAATAGAAAATGACTAGACATAAGCTTGGGTTTGATCTGGAGTAGGTAACATGTCAGGACTCCACAGCCAGACCATTCTTTGGGGACTGAACAGAGAGCACAGAGTGCTCTGGGTGCCTAGGACCTCTAAGATGAAGGCATAGGGACCCAGATTCCAGCTCAAGATGATCCTTCTTACAGAGCATTCAATGACCTGGGACTGTGCTCAGCCACAGAGACCCTGGGGGCATGCAAGCCTATAAAGAGAGGTTAGTGTTGGCTCACATTCTTTGGGACATCTGGAACAGCAGGAGGTTCACCTACCTCTTATTCTGAATGACCCTCCCATCAATATTAAAAATAAACAACACTCATACCTTGAAGGACCATTCCTTTATCTAGTCTTTGTCTTCTCTAGGTTTGCTGAGAAAAAAACCAGCCATTCACTTGACTGAAGGGAATAAGATTGTATCTCAGAGGGGTCAGGTGGCCAAGCTAAGGCCACACAGCTAGTGTTTGGTGGCCATCTTGGAGCTGGTATGCAAGGAAGAGAAACTTTCTCCTCTCCCCTACTGGAATAGAATAGGAGGGATGAGGCCAGTCCTCTGGAAGGCACTCAGTTCCAAGCCCAGGCTCTCCTCCTTCCAGCTCTTTCCTTTGTAGCTAAAGCTGAAAAGAACTGAGTTGTATGGCACCTGCTTCCAAGGCAGCTAAAACGCAGAATCCTGTCCATTTGCAGCCTAAACCCTAATTCCTATATTCCATCTGCTCTGAGTGTCAGCCTGGGTCAAGGCCTGGACTGGGTGGCAAAACAGCTGGTTGACTAACAGTCTACCCAGTGGGTAGCATTCATCTGAGCTGCCCTCCTCTGACCATCCTGGGCATGTCACTGGTATCCAAGGGTCTTTGCCCTATACCCCCATGTGAGCCTATAGTTTCTGCTCCCCTCTTCTTGCCAGATGACTCCCAGCTGGCCCTGAGCTTCCTCTGAGCCCCCACGTCTGTGCAGAGGACCCTTCCACAGACAGCTGTCATTCTGGGGTTGGAAGGAAAATAGAGTCTTTGTGGCCAACTGAAATGCTGTCCACTTTGGAGCCACCCCTAGTGATCTCTGCAGTGTTTACGGGTCTTTGCTGGCTGTTGTAGGTAGGGTAAGGAAGGACAGCAGACAGGGAAACCCAGGCTGTCTAAAGCACACACACACACACACACAGGCACGCACGCACGCACGCATGCACGCACACACGCACACACACAAAAAGCCTTGAACACTGCTGAGAAGACCCTTGCCACCAAGACTGATGACCTGAGTTCAATCCCCAGGTCCCACATGGTGGGAGACGAAAACAGACCTCTACAAGTTGTCCTCTGACCTCCACACGCAGGCTGTGACACACATGCACACATGTGAACACACACACATGCACGCTTAACACATACACAAGAAAATAAATGTAGTTTTTTTTAGAAGGGTGCTTGTGTGTGCTTAAATGCAGCCCAGATTACCAATAGCTAGTCTCTGTCAGGGTCCTTCCAAACTTTGCAAATGAGCACTGTGACAATCTGCTTTATAGATGGGGAGGAGGTGTACACATGGCCCAATGGGCTGGTAAGTTGCCACCTTTTTCTAGGCCTCAGTTTCCCCTTAGAAAACAATGGGGCTCTGTTTATGTAGTTACTCAATAAATGGGCAGGCATCGGGCCAGGAGCTAGGTTGAGGATGACCCCAGACCCCAGACTGTTGCCCCTCAGGCTAACATGTTGTACCTATTTCCAGGATAATCTTTTGACTCCCGAGACCACTGGAGTGATAGGGGGAGAGATGTCTTTGCATCCCTGTCCTGCACTGATTCTGGGCTGGATTTGGGAGCTCTCTGAGCTTCATTCAGGGGACAGTGGCCCAGAGAGGACTGAATATCGACAATATAATCCATGATTCTGGGTCTAAGACCCCTGCCTTGGCTCTAGCCAGCCCAGGAATTTCAGCTGAGCTTTCTGAACACATATGTCTGCAAATGGACAAAAGGTTAAGGTGCCAAAACATTGGCTGAGTTACCTCTGTAACCGCAGGTTCTCTCCCCTCTGCCCCTTCCTTCTTCTCTTTGCAGAGACCCCTGGAGAAGCCTGATGGCCTGGATGTGTCTGACCAGAGCAAGGAGCACCCGCAGCACCTCTGCGAAAAGTGCAAGGTCCTGGGTTACTACTGTCGCCGTGTGCAGTGACCTTGGCAACCACCTCAGCTGCCACCCTCAGCTGCCACCTCCCTGTGCTGCCCAAAGGGCTGAATGGCCTCATACTTGAGGAGACCCTCACAGGCCGGCCCATGTCCTTGTCTCATGTGCTGACAGTGTGGCTGACATGCTCCCAACAAGGTGCAGAGACAGGAGGCTCAGGGACAGAGGCCACCAGAGGCCTTGGTGTCCCCGTAGGCTCTCTCCCTGAGTTTCTTTGGAGCCAAATGGCTTCGTATCTGCCACAAGTACACTAAATGAACTGTGAATTCTGAGGCCTATGGGACGTCTTCCCTCCAAGACCAGCGGGGTCTTATCCCTCCCAGAACCTTGCAGCTTTTGCCTCCTATGAAAAGCCACTCTGGGGAAGTCCTGTTCCATTCTTAATCTGTACCCACAGGGGGCAGTCGCTTGTTCTAGCAGCTGCTGGGGAGTGGCCCTCTGTTGTGCCCACATTGAGTCCCAAATCTGAACACCCTGGGTTTCACTGCATTGCACCTGGTAACTAATATAGCCTCCCTCTGCCAATGGGACCAGCAGGCAGGGGGACATTAAACAATGAACAGTGGTCCCCCAGACTGTCCTATACGCTTAGGTTCTATCAGCTGCTCTCTTGTCGTCCTTAGCCTCCCACCCATGTTAGGGATAAGACCCCACAAAATCTGTAAGCCTGTTCTGGCATGAAGGATTCAGGCCTTGGCATTCTGGGACTACTTTATGCTGCCTGGGTCAAGGACATTTCATCTCCAGCCTCAGTTTCCCCACTGGTTAAGTGAGAGAGTGCCATCAGAAAGCCAAGAGGCCCCATTGAGTTTTGGTGTTCTAGAAGAAAGCTGGCTGCCTCTGGAACACAGCATTGCTGGGGATATGGGATGTCCCTAGACAGCCAGGTGCATTGCCTTCCAAATCCTGATCACCACTTAGAAAGTCAGGTTGAGTGATGTCCGATCTCTCCTACAGCCCTCCTTGCCCGATAGTCCCATCCCCAGAGAAAATGGAAGATGACCCCCCTCCCCAGGTCTCCTCAGCCCCTCACAGTGGGCAAGCCTAAAATGAGCCACAGAACCTCTCCTTTGGGAACTGAGGGTAATGATTTCCTACTTTTCTAGGAAGGCAGAGAAATCTCCCGGCATGTCACATGGCACAGGAGGACTGCTGTCCTGGCCAGGGTCAGCAGTGCACCCTTCACCCCCCACTGTGACAAGCCACACTTGTCTGTCTTTTCTTCACCAGCTGCCAGGACTGAGTAGCTTGACTTTGCCCCAACACTATGCCTCTATGGAGAAGAAAAAAGAAAAAAAAAAAAAAAAAAAAAAAAAAAAAGAAAAGAAAAGGAAAAAAAAAAAAGTCAGACCATGAAACAGGCCTGAAATTGAGTGTTTACACATGATGCCCAGTTGCCCTTTGTTTTCAAATGGAAATGCTTTGTATGACTGAGGAGACACAGTGAAGTGTTAACCAAGGGTCCAGGGAGTGAGTAGAAGAGATGGTCGTGTCTGCAGCAGTTTGCTGCAGAATAGATTTGGGGAGAACATACCCTCTGAACACTTAAAAAGGTGTGTCTGTGGCAGGCAGTCCAGAGCACTGGCTGCCAGCCTGCTGCCCACGAATGGTGGCATGCTGGGCTTCAGACTGCGAGTACCCAGCACCAATGACTCTCCAACCTTCCTGTTGCACTAAGGGCTGCTCCATGCCCACTCCTGGGGCTTGGGAAAAAGGCTGTTTCTGTCAGCCATGCCATTGGGCCTCTGCAGAGAATATTCACAGAAGTGGACAGTGTACTTGTGTACCAGATGAGGACCAGCTGAGCATGGGTGTGCTGGGTCAAATATTCAAAGAGCCCGACGACAACGATAGTCTTCAGGAAGCCAGGCCTGGCAGAAATTGTAACATCTCCCTACAGTGAGTGCCCTGTGCACAGCCAGGCCCTCTTGCCTCAGGCAGCCCCTCCATGGCCCTGCCTTGCAATGCTTTGGCTGTACTTGTGATCTTTTTGAGGCAAGCAAAAGTACTACTCTCTAGGCTGGGTGCTGGAAAAGTTAATGCTCAGAGGGTATGGGAACCCAGGGGACAAGGAAGTGTGTGGTTTTAGTACATTAAAAGGGACAATTGCTTGCAGCCAGTAGATCTTGTGATGCAGTTGAGAGAGAACAGTGTTTACCCACATGAAGTATTCAACAGCTCTGCTTGTGAATTTGTATTTATTTTGAGTTATACTTGACACAGAACTCTTTTTTTAAACAATGCTATGTGTGTATTTTGGGAAAAAAAATCATAGATGTTAACATTTCTGCATGGTTACCAGTTTTTCTTACGACAATGAACTTGGTAGCCTCTCCCCCCCAAAATTCTTCATAGTGATTTTTGTTTGTATATACTTGAGGGTCTTTTTTTTTAAGAAGAGAAAAATAGGATTGCTTGATGTTATTGAAATTGAAAACAACAAAAAGAGGCATTTAAAAAAAATCAGTGCTATGAGAGGGCAATCCATATTGAACAGATTTCTAGAATTAGTTTTACAAGTCTGGTTGATCTGTAAGAGAGTATTTATAGTGAGAATTTTTCCTTTTTTGTTATTTTCTCTATGCTTTGGTCTGTAAAAAGTATGCAACTGAACTACATTAAGAAGGAAATATTATCTACATAGAATTATTATATGAAGTTGGTACATAATTCTAACGAGGGAAAAATCTTTGTAATCCTTTAAGCTATGTTTTTTTTTCTATTTTGTTTTCCTTGGATGAAAATATCAGTATTATGTAGCCAGTATATTATTCAAGTGTTTAGACTTATTAATAAGTTCTTGTCCTGTATTTATACATTTGTGTATTTGGGAAGCATTGCTTTTTTAAGGGGAGTTATCAGTGGACAACATGGTAAAAAGGGAACAGAGATCCTTTGGACCTCTTCCTCTAAGGTTAGCAGGTGGTATTGTTATCTTTTCTCCTGCACCTTGATGTAATTATCTTGTTATTATGGTTTTATTAATGTTATAGGGGAGGGCAGGAAATGGGCAAGGGAAAAGGACACATCGGGCAAACGGGTCCTTTTGTCTGCCAACCCATTGGCCTTGTCAGCAAGACCCAAGGAGGTACATGAAAACAAGAGGCAGGCTTCCTCCTCGCCCGAGCCCTGCCTCCCAGCCCCATGCTCTTTGAACTTGGATCTGTCCACCTGAGCCCTTACACCTGCCTTTTAGCATCTAATGAACTTGAATCTACTCTAAACAAAAGTCTAATCCAACCTCACTACATTGTAGTCAGTGCAACAACTAACAGTGATGTAAGGGGTGTTGCAGCCTTCTGGGAGGTGGCAATGAGGTCCATCACTTACTCTCATGGCCACCTTCCCTGTACCAACCCCTGAGGCCCCATGTGGTGACCCTGTTCATGTCTGTGTCTGTTCATGTGTGTGCATTCAGCTAAGAAGACAAACAGAACCCGTGAGCCCTGCCTGAAGGGTGTGTGGAGAAGGTTCCTGACTTCCCTGTAGGGCCGGCCTCGGGGTGGCATTCCGTTGTGTGCCTTATTCCTGGAGACTCTGTATACGGCTTGCCTATGAAAATATAGCCTTTCTGTGCTGTATTAAAAGGACTTTGGAAAGAAGGAGGCTTATGGGTTTGTTTACAAGGAGCTGGACATTTTCACAAATATGGGACAAAGCAGGGGTGGGAAGAAGTTGGGTGGCATTTAGTTCTCCCAAGTCTGGTCATACTGTCTTTGTTCTATCTCCACTATTGACCTGCCTTCAAGTGAACACACTTTCAGAGTGAGGGCTCTCCCCAAGTGGGGCCCCAACTGGTGAGATAGCCAGCTGATTAAGTCACACATTAGCTGGAATGGAACTCCCACTCCTGGATAACCATATATAGGAGTAATTCAGTCTCAGTGCAGCCCTGGGCTCTGTTGTGTCTGCACATACTTGAGTGTGAGCCCAGGCCTGGGGTCCGAGACACTGGTGGATCACATGCAAGCAAGGGAAGAGGGAATAGGAAGTTCTTTTGAGCAAGGCCAGGACTGGATATGGCTGTCACAGGTTGTCATCTGTAAGGATAAAGCAACATCATGAGAGGCTACTTGCCCATGAAGCCTCTTGGCCAAGCACCAGTACTTCTCTTCAGTCTTGCTGTTCACCAGTCACGTCCAGAGGCAGTAATGTGAAGACATTGGTCTGAAGGTGTTCTTAGGTTCTTAAAGACCCCTGGGTGCACTGTGCACGCTGAGCAAGCACCTGGTTTGAGGAGTCTCCTTATGACCCGGGGGAGGGGGGCGCTAATAGTACCATCAGTGAGGGGCTGGTGAGGAGGGGCCTCTAGCCCCACTGTAGGGGCTTCCAGTTCCTGACTGGAGCCAGCTTACCTTCTAATATTACTGTTTCCTGGTGGGCAGAGGACAGGGAGGAAATTTCCAGGTGACTAAATTTGGATAGGTCAAAGTGCATTTGTGTGGGCAAGCTCTTGCCTCTAGACCATGGCCTTCAGATGGGGCTGAGAAAACCAGAGAGGAGGGGACAGGGCTATCAAGATCAGCAACAACTAACTCAGGAAGCAAGAACCTGGTCTTATTTGGGTTGTAGGGTGAACCCTGGAAGCCACCAAGCCTTTTTCTTCAGAGTAACAAAGAGAATTCCCACTCATCCTCGGGTGTGTAAACGCCAGTCAGGCCTGGGTATGCCTGCTGACTATATATACACTATATATAGTCAGTGTCAGTCCAGCCAAGCAGGTGAGTAGAGGGAACACCACACTACAGAGTGAGAAAATGACAGAATGATTCTTGTGTGTACCACACCATAGCTGGTTATGTACAACTGCTGGGACCTCAACTAGCATCTAGAGAGGTACCAAGCAGAGAGCACCTTGTCCTTTGCACGGTTACCTTCTAGGACAGCCCTGCCACCCCCATCGTCCATATCTCTGAAGCTCTACTCCCTCAGCATAGCATCAGCCAATGTACATGAGTCCCAGCAGCTGCTTGGCACTAGGACAGGCCCAGGGGAGGTGACTTTTTGGTGTCGCTGTCTGCATCTTAGCCTGCAACACTTAGTTCAGACTATATGAGTGAATGGGAAGGGGAGTGAGCCTTGAACCCAAGACCCCAGTGTTATCTGCTCACTAGGAGGCCAGCCTGGCTTTCAGGTTTCTGGCCCAGGCTCC